TTAAACGAAAATATATTTTATAAAATATATGTGACAAAGAATAGTGCCGAAAACTAACGTTGTCACTAATAACTACCAGTTTAATAATTTTATGACATTAGAAAATATTGTCACTATACATGTAGTTATAGTTAAGACATTAATGTCATCACTAAAATTATCGTCATTAATAATGATTATTCTTGTAGTGTTAATGGAATTCCAACGACAATTCCAATGGATATTTTAATGCTATTATTTTTGTTGGAATTTTTCCAATGAATTTCAACGGAAATTTCAACAATAATATTTCGTTGAAATTTTCATTGAATTTTGAGGATTCCTTGTAGATTTTTCAATGGTTGAAATTAATATGGGTAAAAATAAAAAATTTCAATGGAAAATGCATATTCCAACAAAAATTCCTACTGTAAAAAACCGTTGGAAAGATAGTCGTTGGAATAATCAAATTCTATCTAAAATTCCAATGGAAAACTCATTTCAAGAGAACATTTTCATAAGAATTTCCATTCGAAAATTACACCGGAAACTATATTATTAGAATCTCCGTTAGAATTTCTGTTGGAATATATTACTGAAAAATTTTTCTTTGAAATATAACATTTTTTTATTTTTATTTTTTGTAGTGGTACAAGAAAAATACATAACGTTATTTCTATAAAATATTGTAAATTTTATACCATAAGAAGTGTACAAATAAGTTATATTATATGTTTCCATAAATAATTATTTTACCCTTAATAATAATAGTAATAGTAATAATGATAATAAAATTTTATTGTCAATCATTTTTTTTTTTTTTTTAATTGTCAAATTGCTCATCTAATTAGCCATGTTGTTGGACCCATATATAGTAAGTGCAGGGTTGTACTTGCCCTTCTTTCACTGCCGAATTTCGATCACTCATATTCGTACCGTGATTCAATCAATGTGTTTTTTTGAATCTTCATTCAATGTGTTGCATATTTATGTGACATGAATATTTAAGAGACATTGACCCTTTACTTATTGGACAATTCTAACTTACAAATACAAAATTTTTACGGAATCATCGAATGATTTTCTTATGAAGCCCTCAATTACTTAATGTATTGACGTCTGTTCAAAGTGTATTTATTGCAGGACACGTGTCAATATACGATTTGTGAATAACTGTGGATGATTCCATAAGCCGAGTCATCCGATGACTCCATAGTAAAACTGTTTACCGATGTCACTATGTCTGAATGCTTTGTGATATTGTATGTTCAATGGTGTTAGTATTTGTGACTTGTGAGGCAATAGTACATAGGATATGAAAATGAGACTGCGGTTATTAAGTTACCTCGTTTCAGAAAAAAAGACCTCCATAAGTTAGGGGTCAATAAACTAGTATGTTCCCGTGCGATGGACAAGATAATGATGCTAAAAATAATTTTATTATGATTATGATGCAAGGAAGAAACATTAAAAATAATTTTATAAAAAATAAATATCGTGTCAATATTAAAATTAGTTTTCCAAGTTAAATATTGGATAACATGAACATGGTTTACTCATATTTATTTATATTTGTAATAATTCACTCAATTCAAGAATTTTTAATAATACAATAAAAATTATGTTGGAAAATATTTATTGGAGGGTGTTGATAAATTTCAATTTGGGGCGGAAAGTCAACTGGTGAAATTGTTAATTGAGTAGTGTTTAATTTTTTTCTAAATTTTTTACTGTTGTTACATAAAAAATGTTGGTAGCTATTTTAAATATTATTCACATTAAATGATAACTAGAAATTATATTATTTAAGTTAAATAAATTAAACTTAAATATTGTGTAAATTAAAGCACAATTAAATATTATATTATTTTAATTAAATAAAACAACCCAAAAGACATGATCCAATTATTAAAAAAAAAAATGTGATTATATTTACAATAGTACTAGCTCGTCTACAACTCTTGAAAATTAGTATAATATGGAATTTTTTTTATATCCTTCGAAACACTACGAAATGTTAACTAATTAAAAGATAGTTAAAGACGTCACAACAACAACAATGGACTTTCACATGATGACTCTCTTTACTACGATAAAGAGAGTTAAAGATGTCACAACAACAACAAAGTTATGCACCAAGTGTTGGTGTTGGCTTCGACTACATGCGCGCGCCCGTCCGTCAGTCCTCACGTCGACTCGACTCGGGCCTGGGCTTGGGTTTGAGCCTTGGACTTTGAATCTTGGTCCTAGGTACTTGGTACTTGGTAGGGCTGAGCATGGAACTCGGAGAATTTCGAACCGTTCCGAAAACCGAATCGAAATCACTCCGAACCGAAAAATAACCGTTGACCATTTGACTTTCTCCGAACCGAACCGAACCGAAAAATAATTGGTACGGTTTTGGAGATTTCACAAGTATCCGTACCGAGAACCGAACCGAACCGTACTGTACCGAACCGAAGAACTTAATTATAACATTAGATGTTTATTAATATATTTTATGTCAACTTTGATTCTATATAATATAGTAATAAATATTAACCTTTACTTAAATTTCATGCTTAGTAGTACTTGATTTACAATTGAATTTTTCTATTATAAAATAATTATTTAAAATAATATGAAAGTTTAAAGAATATTTTTTTTTAAGAAAAAAAATATATTATATTTTATTTGAATTTTAAATTTTCAATATTTGTTGCACAAATTTAGTTATAACTAAAATTTAGAGTTACTTATAAAGTTGATTTAAAAATAAAATCTTTAATGTGAGGAAGTACTGATGAATGTTAGTTTTATTAAAGCATATAAAAATTAAATAACTAAAATTTAGAGTTATTTCTAGAATTGATTTCAAAATAAAATCTTCAATAGGATGAATTATTGATGAATGATGTTTTTTTAAAGCATATAAAAATTTAAATATAACTAGGTAGTCATTCAAAAATAATTTAAAAGAATAAAAAATCTCCAAAGATCCGAACCAAACCATACCGAACTGAACCGTCCCAATAGTCCCGAATACCGAACCGAACTGAAAAAATAAAAATCTCCGAACCGAACCGAACTGAACTTTTGGTACGGTTCTGGAGATCGAATTTTGGGATCTCCGAAGTTTGGTACGGTTCTGAAGATTTATCAATCTCCGGACCGTACCGACCCACGCTCACCCCTAGTACTTGGCAACTGAATTGTGGGTTGAACTTAGGCGGCCTTGGATGATCTGAGTTAGTGTTGAGCTTGGGGCTTAGACTTATTCATTATATTCTTTTTGCTGCAAAAATATTTGCAAAGTTCTGGCCCAAACCGAGCCGAGTTTTGAATTCAAGTTTTGACCCAACTCGTGTAGACCTCACCTATATACAATGTAACTAGACATGTTGATTCCACCTGACCGTTTCAGGAGTTATCAGGTGGCGCAGTAATATGCTAACACCTGAAAATGACCTGACTGCTTTAAGCCCATTACAACAATCTTTAGTTGGTTGTTACAAGGTATTATAGTTGTTTGACCATGTCGGTGGAAGCCCTATATATAAGACTTGTCTAGAGCTGCAGAAAGATACAAGGGATATATCATCCACATAATACTCTACTAGTAGCCTTACGGATCATACATAGTGCTCAGTTTCAACTCCGTTCAAACCTAGAAATCTGAAGTGCAACATCTTTTAAGTCGTATTTGTTGTATCTTTGAGGACGAGACGCCTAAGTTCATCAGCACGGGCGTATTCATCTTGTGGAAAGAGCAAATCTCACCTCGACTTATTATCTTTCTGTTGGAATATCACTTGTGAGTGTTCCACATTGATTCTATAGGGAAAATGAGTCTAGTATATAAGCCTAGTGGGCTACTCCTCCTATCACCAATTGATTTTGGGATGGAACCTCATAAGGTGCATCTAGGCTCACTCTCTTATGGTGCGCCTTCATCTGGTGGGACCGCACTCTCTTCCCCTCGGTTCTAACATGGTATCAGAGCGGGCCTGTCCTAGGACTCTCTCTACCCGGCCTGCTCTGGGCTTGGGCTTATCTCTCTACCCGGTCTGCTATGTGGGCTTGGGCTTACGAAGGACTCACAAGTGAGGGGGCGTGTTGGAATATCACTTGTGAGTGTCCCACATTGATTCTATAGGGAAAATGAGTCTAGTATATAAGCCTAGTGGGCTACTCCTACTATCACCAATTGGTTTTGGGATGGAACCTCACTAAGGTGCATCTAGGCTCACTCTCTTATGGTGCGCCTTCATCTGGTGGGACCGCACTCTCTTCTCCTCGGTTCTAACACTTTCCCATCAAAATTAATTATATTTTTCTATGCAGTTTTTTATTTAAATTGTGAAAACTGAAACATATCAATTTAATTCATCGTAATTTTGTAACACTAGCTTCCGTTTCTCCTTTAACCAACGTGTTTAACAAGCGTGGTAGTTATTTTGATTAGGACATTGAATAATTTACTCATTAAATAAGTATGTTTTGTTGTTTTTGAAGAGTCGTATGAACCTTGAGAAAATCATTTATGAAAAATCAATTATACAATGTACTTTTTTTTTTAAAGGTGATCCAAACAAGCACTCAATCATCTCATAGGAGAAGGCTACAATCCCGTTACAGTACAGTTCCGTTGTGTTTTACTTAAGTATGGATATTTTTTATAACTTTGTCACACTTCTATTAATATGCAATAATCTTCATAGATTATTAATAAAGCTAATCAGTTGTATTTAAAAAAATAGATTTATTAAAAAGCTAGCACATAGATTCGTAGACAATATTTATTAATTGCACTTGGAAATTCAAACTATTTAATAAAGAGTTCGAGATTAAGTTTGTTAACTACATTCATCAATTGCAATTAACTACATTAATGCAAATTCACATATTGCTATTAATAATCTGAATCACCATATACAAATACACATTCACTGTACAAATCAGTCAGAACCCCGCCAAGTAAAACACCTCGTTGTGCCACAGCAAAATTTTCAGGCACGCTAGGGGACATCTCTCAAAACTTATCATCTTCTGCCCATATAATCAAGAAAAGCCTGACATCTTAGGGAAGACTGGAAAAATTGTGTCAATTTCAAATACCACTCACATTGTATGTCGCCCGTCGGACTTTTCTCTAGGGATCCGTTCTTCCTGGACTTCTTCCAAGTCCTCGTCATCACCTCTTTGACCAGCTTGCTCTTTCCAATAGGCCACCAGCCTCTTCAGACGAGCCACTTCCTTCGATGAAACATTTTTACTCGGATCATTCACAATTGACCGAACTCTGGAAGCATACCTGTATGGAAGATAAAACTTCTTAACAACCATCAACATGTCGAACTTTGCATAATTCTAGTGTATTTTTGGTCAGGGTATGATCCAGTCACTCCAACCGGGCCACACTCCAAATTGCAGCTCTACACAAAACTAATGTTGGTACTGCTAAAGAGATCACGATTGTTTTCTTACGTTAAAGAGTTGTAGGTCTCGTCCAGATTCGACTCGGCAGGAGATATATTTACAAACATTAGCGTTTTGGCATTCCCGCCAAGTGAATCGCTCATCAGCATCGTCAACTTGTGGTTTCTATACGGAATGTGTTGATTACCGGAAGCCAAAGCACTAATAACGTCTCCGAGAGCAGAAAGTGATTTGTTGATGCTTTGGGCTTCTTTTAGCTGACTACCAGAAGAGCCTGATTTTTTCACCCTTTCGGACCCGGCAAGATCTACAAAGCTTAGCTGCACGAGGATTAAAGCAAAAGGCTCGAATGAAGCAAAACAGGCGCAACAAATAATACGGAAAAGTGGTCATAGTCCTTTCCTGAAAGTTTCCTTAGAAGTTGGGCAAAGGGTATTAAAGCAAAAGGCTCAAATGAAGCAAATCAGGCAGAAGCATAATACTAAAATAAATGGTCATAATCATTTTCTGAAGACTAGAAGTTGAATTTCGTGAAGGGGCTAGCAGCATGAACTTGTATAGAGGAAAAAAACATATAACACATTCAGATAATGCATACCAACATCTAACCTAATTTAATGATTCAAGGATGATACGCCCATTTGTGCCGTGCAATAATCTTTTAGAAAGGTTTCACAAACGCTTGCATGATACACCTATTTGTGCCGAGCTATAAACTTTCAGGATAGTTTGATCATGAAGTTACTACTGAGATCTAAGCTAATTACAGAAACTTCAACCTTTTGTCAAATTTACAAAAATCTTTCCACAAATACCACTCAGATGAACACTTAACTTGAATTTTAAACACGTAGAAGCACACTTAAATATTCTATGTTGATGAACGATATACTCGCATATGTTAGTTATGGTATATGATGTTGAGCATTTGTGCAAGTACTGCCAAGGCTATGTTTGCTAAACACCATAAGTTGACTTATAGCTTACTTAAAGAGCTTATAAGCTTTTTGTACTCCAAGAAGTCTGGTTTGGTTGGATGCACTTTTTTAAAATTACAATTTGTGCCATGAGATATGTAAAAGGGTTTGCACAATTCTTTTAAAATTCTTTCATATTCTCGTTGGATAATTGATCCTTTGTTTCAAGTTAAAACAATTTGGCGTACAGCCTTATTAACGATCTAAATTTTATCTTATAAAAAATTTTCCATTTTTATTGTTTCTGTGAATTATTTTCTCATAATGTTATCAATATCAGACATTAATTACTTCACATGTATCAGAAAAGAAATTAATCTGTAAATTACTTGTCAGAGCTTTTCGTTTTAACTGTTTTGGAATTTATCAATTAGTTTACTTGGGGAAAAATCCTGGGAACCCTTGGAATTTATTATGCTTTTGTTTCTGTGTACAATTGAATCATAAACAATATTTGGTAGCAATTTGTTTCATTTTGTACTGAATGGTTTGAGATACATACAACCAAAAATGCGTTTTTCTACTGAAACTCCTTGAAATTTCTTTGAACTCTTGCTAACTTTTTAGTGTTCATTTCATTGCTTATGATGGTTATTTTTCTTTATACAATAGAAACAACAATAATCATATTAACAATTTTAAAATAAATAGAATTATCTTAACTATATAAGTTTAAGTAATTTTTTTGTTTTCCAGCTAGCTTAGAAGCTACTTTTGTCGAATACTATTATGTATATATTTAATTGAAATTTCAGCCATTAACTAACTTTTCAGCTAAACCTACCCAACATATCCTGATTCAATTTTGACAGCTTTTTCGACAGAATAAATAGGTACCTTTCCTCTGGCAACAGATTGAGTTTGAAGATTTGTACTCTCAACAACAACAGAGAGTATCAAATGTGATCTTGAGCTTTGTTCATTCATCAAGGTTCCAGTTGTATGCCGTTGTTCAGATCCTCTCTCAATAATACTTCTCAATTCCTCGAATGATGTAATGGATAACATTGTGACATTTTCCACAACCACCATACCCTATAAAATTGAAGACAGACAATTTAATCATTGAAGAGCAAATAATTTGCTAGTAAAGAACTGTAGGATATAAACATACAAACAAATACCTTTGAATCTTTTTTTATTTCCAATTTCAAACGCTTAGCATTCTTCGGCAACAAGAGATCAATTAGGGTGTCTTGATATAATTCCAACATGTATGCCTGCATGTATTCATAAGATAATGGTTCATAACAAATAAACAAACTTCCACAACTTTGACGCTGTAACTAATGCTTTTGAAATTGGAAGGAACATAAATGGTGCAACCATCTGTTGACCTCAACACAAAGAATTGCGAAAGAGAAAAATAAATATATTATTTAAGTAATCAACTTGATCCTAAGCCTTTGTTCTTAATTACCTTCAAAGAGAAACGGAACAAGGAAAGGAATCTATGAAGAGAAGAGAACGAGTAGCCTGTATGTATATTTTTTTGTTACCTTCAAACTAAAAGAAAACTTTTTACTATCATGTTTTATAATTCTGAAGAGTTCAGATATTGCTCGTGGAGTGAGCCCAGGGTTGCTCTCAGATCCATAAATTGTGAATGTTTTTCCTGAACCAGTTTGCCCATAGGCAAATATGCACACGTTGTATCCATCAACAGCAGATTGTACCAAGTACTGCATCGGATAAGGGGAAAAAAACAGTAATGAGTAGAATTGAGTGTGTATGCCTGAATAAATTGTTTTTGTAATAAGGTAAGCTAAATTAAATTTTCCTGAACATGCCTTGGTATCCTCAAAAACATCCTCTTGCGAGGCTTGACCATCAAAAACACAATCATACATGTGTTGCTTCACTCTATCATCTCTCCATGTGTGCTCTACAGTAAACTCATCAACATTTGCAAGAACATTTTTCTCCTTTTCATATACTTCCTTTTCACTTAGGGGTCTTAATCGACAATATACACGTATTTTGCCCTTCATGTCTGAGAAGAAAATGAAGGATACTCTATCATTCAGCGAACATGATGATTGACAATCACAACGAGTACATTATGAAGAGGAAATACCTTCCATCATGTTAAAATACCGTTTTCGCATAACTTGTTCCTCCTTGTACAGTGCCTCCATCTCAGCTAATTGAGCCCCTTGCATCTTCAATATTGCAGCGGTTTGCTCATTTTTCCTGTCGATATCCTAAGCAAACAATTATCTATCAATATGCGTCATAAAAAAATTACCTTACAAACATATAATGAGTTCCGGGATTGAGAAAACAGACAAATTTTGTGTCAAAATTATTTTTCACCTCTTTCATTTCTCTAAGCTCTTCAAGTTCCTTGAGATTATTTTGCAAGGCACATAAATCTTTGTCCTTGATGGCAATAGCAGATTGTGCGACGATTAAGTTTTGTGTGGTCTCTTCCAACTTCTTTTCAAGCTCGATAACCTGATGCTTCATAGTCTTGCGTTCATGCTCAAACCTTTTCTCAATAAGAGCAATCTACATTCGAGAAAATTAGCAAAACCTCAAGTGATGTAACCGTCCATTAGCTATTTGTAATTGACAAAGGACAAGATATTGCTTTACCTCATCAGTATACTTCTTCTCAAGTCTCAAAAATCTTTCTTCGAGTAATGTCTTCTCATTTACAATTTTCCTTTTGGATTCTTCTACCACAAGCAACTCTGCATTGCGTGCTTTTAGTTCATCCTGAGTCTTACGCAGAACCTATTAAGGATAAAAGTATGCTGATCAAAATATTTCAAATGGTAAGATCACTGGTCACATTGCGGAAAAAGAAAAGAAAACAAAAGAAAAAAGCAAACGCAATGTCACTAGGTTGTAAAAGAATTGTTGAAAGAAAAAGGTGTCAAGAAGAAGAAGAAGAAGAAGAATATCCAATATATATTACCGGATTATTTGTTTCGACCAACTCTTTCTTGATATTGCTCCCCAATCCTTGACTATTCAGCTTTGCAAACTTCACTTCTAGGTTTTGTTTCTCCAACATTGCGGCCTACAAGTAATCATAATAAGAAGCTGCAAACACCAATGACAACTGAGTGGAATCACTTTTCAAATGATTACCTGAAGTGCCGATTCTTTGTCATCACATGAAGCTCGCAATTTGTCACGTTCAGAGATGACTTCTTCCAAGTATCTTTTCTCAGACCGCAGCATGCCCTTCAAACTCTCGAAGTCTTCTTTCATTTTTAGTTCTTGATTTTGCTTTTCATGCAGCTGTTCTTGCAACTAAACAACCAAATACACCATCTGTTAGAGAAAAGTTCTAGAAAAAAAGAAACGTTAACGAAAATTTGACCATCAACAAACAAGAAAAGAATTATATCATTTGGATAAGTTATCTATAAAATTTGTAATTAGATACAAAAATTGAAAGTCGAGAGTAATAATGCTTCATCTATTATTGCTCTTTTTCAAGAAACTTGCAACACTCACTTGATTGACTTTATTCTCTGATTCTTCAAGAGATTTTGACAAGTTTGAAATACGTTTCTCATTGATGTCTATAGTAGGCCGAACAACATCAGGGGAGTTTCCATTAATTGAACCATGAGCAGCAGCACGTGCTTTGGAGTAGCGCCGCAACATCACATCATTTATATGTGTCTGAAGGGCCACACAGATTTCCTCCCCCTAATGAAATAAGAATGTTAACAGTGATAAACCTTCAACAAATGAATCCAAGACCAATACATCTTTGCTACTAACTGGATACCAAGTATAGTAACCTGCTTTGTTTCAAATTGAAATATATGCAAGACACCAGCAACTCTCATCTTGAAAAAAACAGCAGTATTACTGCTTCCAAATTGCATTATGTCCCTCAACTCAGCCGAATGTAGATATTCTTTTGGAACCGGGCGGAAGAAATGAACCTTTAACAGACAAGTTAATATGTTAAACAAGTAATTCATAGTAAGGATTTGCATTGTATAAAATAACATTGCAAAAATAATATAGATATCCTTACCCCACGCTTATTAATGCCTAAAATAATTTTGCCTGGCAAGAGTCCAATGGGATCATCAATCTTACGAACAGCAAAGAACACCGAGTTCCCGTAAGGAAGCGTTCTCAAGATCCGTAAGAATTGTTGTCTAGCATCATCTTTTGTCAAATTCTCCTGCAAGTCAATAAAATATCAAGAACATTTTTTTCTAAAAAGACTATCCGGACTTAACTAAATACATATATAATTAAGGAGAAATTTTGAAAATAACCATAAGGGTAGATTAATGTTGAGAATTCAATTTTTATGAATTAATATACTTGTTTATATGGCTGAACCATATTTGCAGTGTGGTGGGGAAGTTGGCAGATGATGAGTTTCATAATTAGTTATGCAAAATGAATAGTTGCATCTCTTTTCTTATTTTTCTTATCAATAGAACAATTAATTCTAGAAATCAAAATCTTGTTCATTTAAAATTTTAAATAGAAGATATACTATAATGTCTCTCACCATTGAGCGGTAACGAGAAAGAATATCTAATTCCCAGTCTCTTTTTGCTCGAGTAATTGCAATTTGTCTCGGGAGGAATCTTTGCAGAAGCGACGTCCAATCACTAGACACATGATCGAAAATACAATTAATAAATAATGAATCTTTTGCATGTTTCTACTTACACATTAACAACTTTTTGAAACATTCTTTAGGAACTACAAGATGCAGTTGCGTTAAGTCAAAAACATGAACAGAAACACAGGCACGGACAGGGGGAAAAAAAAAAGGAAAGGTAACTAACGTGCATGTCTCTGGAGAAACAACATATCCAACTTCAACCAATATTTGCAGAGCCGATAACTGTGCAGCATCATCCTTTCCAACCGGATAATTGCCCAACACATAATCATGTTGCAGCTGTAGAGAAGGAGGATGAGAGAGGAAAATAGCGCCAACAAAATAGCTGGTTGATAATCTCAAAACTAGATAAATGTGAATAGCTGTAGAAATGCAGATAAAATCTCAAGAAAACATAGTTGAACAGAGCCATACTTGGACATATGATAACTGCACGAACATCGGGTCTGTAACAGCTTCATCAGACTCCCGGAACAATTTCTTTTTAAATGTAAGTTTACACTGCAATATCTCTCCTCTACTCCTGTCCTTCGACGCCTTAAAGTCCGCAAGTAAATCACCAATATATTTATTATCATCTAAACCAATATGCTCCTCTGCAAAAGATCAGCATTTTATGAAAATGATGAACTGGAAGCATGTTTGTATTAATTTAGAAAACTAGGGAACTCCAACAATTTATTGCAGCTTAGAAGTAAAAAGAATGTAGCTGACGACAATTTTGTAAAAATACCATTTCCGGGGTCAGGTGTTTTCGAAACAACAGCCTTACGGCACTCAAACAAACTGAAGCTGGAATATGCTGATAGTTTGATTATTCCAGCAAGCTCCTGAAGATTCAGCAGTAGTGAACAAAAATTGTATAACGTGCATCAAGATAGTCAAGAATAGAATACGGGATGTGCTAATATATGAAATGAGAACAAAAAATATAATAGAATGAAATATACTACTTCTATCTTTGACAAAAAAAAGGTACATTGACTAGCATATTCAGAATCTTGAATGAGCTCCAAAAGAGTTGCACATTCATGGCATATGCCTCCCACATCAATTGCTCATAAACACATAGCTATATATATGCAGCATCTAAAGCAATGAATGCGATAAATAAATGTGAATAGCCAACACTATTCAAGCATAACATTTACACGAAGGCGCCGTGATTTTATGCTTTTAGGTTGGCAGAACAGATTACTCTATTCAATTTATCTCATACATCTAACAAAACCTATAAAAACCCCAGATTACCTAATTCATGTGGATCGACTTCATAATTCATGTCGCCAGGTTATATATTTACAACACCATCAGTTACTTTGTAGATCCACCCACAATCAACTACTCTCCATGAACAATCTATGTCCACTAAAAATGTTTGTCAGTCGGAGATAGTTATTCGAAGGCAAATTAAAATTGCACTTTTACTAACGCATGTGAATCACCCTTGAGTGAAGCTCTCTCTGGTCTTCTGCAAACAATTAATTAAGCACTCTCTCTGCAGTGGTCAAATGTGTCTACAGTTTCTGACGTCCCCACTTGTTAATCCATACCATTTTCTATGTGACTCATTTGAAACTGATATTCATACTGATTCGTAATGACCCATATTTTGTAAACATGAGCCAATGGAAGGAGGAAAAATTGTCACCTCTTCCTACATTAGTGGAGCAACTATAAATGGGTGATGATGATGTTATTATTTCAGGGTTGAAGTTCAATTTTTAAGATGTCTGAGCCTATACTTCTCGTTAACAGTATTCCTAATGCAATTTCTTATTCTATCGAAATATACCTATACAATGGCCTAACTTCAAGTCCGACGAAAATTCCCACAGACATTAAACAGACATGTAGATAAAACTGACAGAAACTATAGGACGTCATCTTCGAAGGGACAAAAGTTGAGAAGTTGCTTTCAAATAATAATCATAACAATCAACAAAAGCATCCATTGTTACACCTTCACATATGAGCAACATTGACATTTTGATAACTTTACCCTAGAAAACTTACAAACCACTTATATTTAAAAAATATTCCTACCCTTAGTTTATTGTTAAAAAAAAAGGCATTATTCAATCAGAAATAATAATTAAATGAAAAATAAAAACACAGCTCCCAACATATGAAAAGCTTGCATAAATGCTTCCAACAACATGATCAGTACCTCAACGGCATCAGCTACGGTCGTGGTCATGTCGTATGTAATCTCTTCAAAGGTTTCATCCAAGAAGAACACTATAGTCGTAAGCTTTTTACCAGTCAAAGCTGCATCAATCTCCTCACGTCCGGGTATTGTATGCCTAGGTCCGGCCTTCACAGACCGCTTTAATGCTTTTAACGTATTCATGGCAAGGACTTGAACTTCTGTATCATTACTGCCACCATGTGCCACAGTATGCACATATTCGGACAAATAGGCACCAATTTCCTTTCCAGGAGGCATGCAGGACGCACTTAAATACATAAGTTCCCATGCCTTAATCAATGAGCGCCTGTTATGACAAAGCATACTGTCACCCACACTGAATCGAGCAATGTCGAACAATAAAATCCTAAAAATCCGAAAAATATAAGTTCCTAAAACCAAGGTAAACTCACTGTGCAACGAATGTCAAAAACCAAATTATAATGTCAGAAAAGCCCATAGAATGAACCCATACAACCTCAAATTCCTAATACATACTTGTCGGGATTATTTCTTGTCTGCTTCGAGATTTGCATAAAAAGCTCATCCCGGAGTTCTGAGCGCTTCAAAGAATGCTTGTATAGTTTGCTGATAAGCTCAATGCGTTCATCTAAGCTAGCCGGAGTGACTCGTTCGGAAGAATCAACCTCCATATACTTTAGGATAACCTGAAACAATTTAACCGCTCTGCTAACGAGATCACTACTCACCTTCAGCAATGAGGTCGGAATAGGATCCTGTCAAAAGGAATAGCATTCCTTTAGCAACCAAGAGTAGAAAGGAAAATTTATCTAGGTATTGAACTAGTTACCTTCTGGAAGCACAACATGTCCTCAAAATTAAACTTCTGTCTAACTTGAGTGCCCATTGTCTTTTTAGAGAAGAAACTACGCCTACCGGCCGAGTGTATCTGCTTCTGCATAGCCCTCAAAAACCCCTCTACCTAAGAGAAAGAAATGAATAATGATGTGCATTAAATACATAGCACCAGTAAATGGGAAAATTGTACATTTCCAATCGCACCAGACAAACTAATGCATAATCACAAACAAAGAATGGCTATTAGCGCATTTGCAATTTTTACCTGGATCTTGTCAATCAATGGTATAGCACCAGCAAGTTCGGGCGGCATAACTGAAGACAGAGTATTCGGCGTACTGCAAGTGAAATGCCATAATAGCTAATACAATTTCATAGAATAGACATAAATGCTTCGATCTAAACACAACTGATGCCCCTATTGAGCAATAAAAGAAAAGGAAAAATCTACAAGCATTAGTTCTGGACATGTTAAAATCTTACGGCGGGGCAAAGTTAGAACCATCGGAATCATAATCTTCCGCGTTCGATATGGACAAGGAGCTGTTTGAAGGGGCTTCAAATCCATTGCTAGAGCCAAATGACGACCTGCTCGATCTCAAGTTCTGTGCCATATCGGACGTTGTTTCCCGACAAACGCAGGACAGTGTCTAACTCAATGTTACAGCGGCTCCACAAATCTCTCCATCACATTAACTTATTCAGGGTGACAAGTTGTCTTCGTGGAACGAACTCTGATTAAGAAAGGCAACAAACAATCATCATATAAAAATTAGAAACAAACAAGGATGAAATAAAAACATCAATTTTTGCGGTAGTGAATAAAAAGCTACACACCACTACAACAAACAAACAAATAAAGGCCCCGACTTTTTACCAGAATGTGCATAAACCCCGTTGAAACAAGCAACCTTTTGGTTAAGATAAGCAGTGAAAAATGGAAAAAGAAGAAGAAAATAACATGAGATCTGACATAATTCACTCAATAAACTCAATTGACAACTTAGAAATTCAAGAACTGCACATCATAAGACCATTAAAGCTTTCAGAACGAAGAATCAAGAAAGAATCAGGCCGAACTACACAGAGACCACATAAAATACAGAACAGAAGATAACATTAAATGCAAAGGTATTATTACACAGATATATCAAACAAATGAAGTAAACACAAAATTATGCAAAAAATTCACACACAAACCTAAGCAAAGATAATCAAAGTGAAACAATATACTCCGGAATCAGATCAAAATGTCTGTCGGAGGAGTGTTTTTTGACGAGCTAGAGAGAGCTGAGGGAGAGAGAGTAGGAGGGAGAAACGAGAGAATGAAGGTCACGAGATTTTGAATTTTCTTTAGAAAATAGATTAATGACTATTCTTCCATTTTTCTTTTTTTTTTTTTTNNNNGTGTATATTATATATAATATTATATATATAAAAAAAATCAATCAATCAAATTTAAAAAAAAAAATTGAATTTTAAATACTTCTTATACAATTATATTATTATCTTACTCAATTTATATTATATTTATAAAGATAGAATAAATTTATTATTTTGCATACGTAATATGAATGTCAACTTGGTGATTAATTTGATATATGATATATCAAAAAATAATATTAAGTTGTAAGATACAGTGATTAAAATAGCGCGCGGCGAGCCGAGGCGACAAGGCTCCAATTTGCCATGGCGTGAGGCGTGCGGCGAGGCGCCCGCCATATGAAAGCGAGGCGAGCTATTAACAAAAAAAAAATATATATATATATATATATGTATAGTTGTATATGAGACATTTTTACCAAATTATGACACAATTATTTATGTAGATATAAATTATAATAGCTAATAAATATGCAATAAAACACCAGACATTAAAGTATAAAAAAACTAACAAGTAGCATCCATATCCAACATGACCAATAAAGCAAATAAACAACAATATTCATAGTTCCAAGTTCCAACTTCTAACAAAAGCAACAGCAAAAGAAACAACTAAAATTAGTTCACTTCCACAACAAATACTAGTTGAGGGAAAGTTCTTGGACTGCGGCGACATCATCATCCGACTTATATCCATCCACATCCTCTTCTTCCCCATCATTGTTGATAACATCATCATTCCATTCACAATCTTCATCTACAAGCCTAAATGATGAAGATGATGCGTTAGAAGCCGACTTCTTTCCGGTTGATCTAGTTCTATTTCTCGACTCCTCAACCCCGGCGGCCGTAGCAACGTCATCCCAAGTTAAATCCTCATTTTGAAACACATATTCTTCCTCTCTAGCACCCACCAACTATTCATTGTTTTCATCAATGTCTTTCAAGGCAATAGGATCAATTTTTCCCCGCATCAAGTACCGGCGTTGCAATGCCCTATTAAGCCGGTCATGATCCAATTTGTTTCTTTTCTTCGAATGAATCTATCAAAATAATAATTTCCACATTGTTATAAACTAATAATAAGAAATAAATAATAACAATATAAGAAAATGGAGTGAATAAAAAACTTACGTGCTCAAAAAACACTCCAACTCCTCTCACATTCGGACGAGCTACAAGTGAGGCTCAACACCTTGATAGCAAATTTTTGTAAATCGGGTGTATCGGAGCCACACACCCCACCAATTTGCCGGTGTCCTTGTAGCTCTTTGCCTAACTGCCATAGGCAAACCAAAGAGACCCTCGGCATTCAGATATTTGTCCAAGTCATCACAAATTTGATCTTGTGTTGCAATACTTGGAACCAACCTTTGGATGGACTCATACAAGCTTCTATAAATCTCCGAAGAAGCTCCACAACACCCCGGGTCTTTGTAGAAGAACTCCGGATTCAAGAAAAAACCCACCGCATGCAAAGGTCGATGTAATTGAACATCCCACCTCCGATCAATAATATCATACACCTCTTGATACTTGCTTTGGACACCTTGAAATGCGGATGCAATGGCTTCCTTGGCCCTATCCATCGCCTCATAAATATATCCTATTGGGGGCTTTCCTCACCATCTACAATCCGAAGCACACCAACAAGAGGAGAAGCAAATTTCAAAGAAATCGTCACATTGGTCCAAAAGGACGGCATCATCATAATCTCGGCGACCTTCTTGCCTTGTTCCTCTTTCGCCCATTTGCTTTTAGTCCAATCGTCGAACACAAACATTTTCGCAAATTAGCCTTGTGAACATTAATTTTTTTTCAATGTCAAAAACGCCGTTGCAAAACGGGTTTTTGCCGGCTTCACCAAATCCTTCTTTTGTGTAAAGTGTCGCATCATGTTCAACAAAGTGGGACGATTGTAGATGTAGTCGTGCACTCGGAGAGCCCTCTCATATGTCCTTTGAAGATAAGGAATTTTGTAAATATCTTCTAACATCAAGTCGAGGCAATGTGCGGCACAAGGACTCCAATATAAATGTGGATACTTCCGCTCCAAGTAATGCCCAACCAATTTGTTTGCCGCCGCACTATCGGTTACAATTGAATCCCATTTTCTTCTCTAATGGCTTCAATGTAAGTCTCCAACAAGTCTTGAATTCTCCTTGCATCCTTTGCATAGCTCGATGCATCAACAGAGTGAAGGAACACGGTGCCACGAGGAGAGTTCACCAAAAAGTTTATCAAAGTCCGATTCCGCAGATCGGTCCACCCATCACACATCAATGTGCACCCGTATTGTGCTCTAGATAGCTCATGCTCTTTCATCATCTTCATCACGTGCTCTTTCTCATTCTTAAGCAACGGGGCTCTTACTTGATAGTATGTCGGCGGCGGCAACCCGGAACCATAATTTCCAACGGCCTCAATCATAGGCCCAAAAGCCGGACAATTGACCACATTAAGAGGGACCGCGGCTTCATATAGGAACCTTGCAATCTTTTCATAAGCTCTCTTCCTCAACTCTTCTCGATATGGCGAATTTTCATCTATTTTTGGTTGCTTTCCTTTGCTCTTTCGACTTTCCACGGCAACTTCGGCATCGGGTGTAAAATAGCAATCAATAGCCCCTTTTGCTTTTGGTCTCTTGAATTGAAATTGAGTTTTTTTCATGTTGAAACCTTGAGTGGATGCGGAAGAGGATAGATTCCTTGGAGTTGGAGCCTTCATGGGATCGATTTCTTCTTCTTCAACATCATAATCATCCAAATCAACCGCTTCATCAATGTCTACTACACATCTTCTATGCTCCGTTTGTTTCTTTTTCATTTCCATGTATTCTTTTACTTCTACACGAACTTCTGCCGGGCATTTTGAACATCGTAAGACATTTGCAAAGCCTCCAACCCAATGTTGCTTCATTCTTGAGACTCCGCTTTTGTACGTGATCCCACAAAAATTGCAAGTAAATGCATGAATATTTGTGGGATCCCTCACCGAATATTTCCAAGCAACGTCTTTTTTATTATTGTTCTCCTCCATATCTACAAATAAATTAAATTGGAAAACATAAAGACCAATTATTTAATAACAAAATAAATAAAAGAGTAAGTTAAAAGAAAAAAATAAAAAAAAAAAGAACAAGTCTGCCCACCATTTTAGACAAAGTTATAATAATTTTTTTTTTTCAAGAAACTCAATAAAATTGAAAGAAAAAGAAACAAATACAGAGTACTGATACAAAAGACTACACAGTAAAAAAAGGGCACCACCCCAATCTACAAACTACCAAAGTCAAACTAGCACAGAAACCATAACTCAATAAGACAAAGTTATAATAGTTAATAAATAAATAATTAGAACTTTAGAAGCCACCAACACATTAAATATTAATATCTCCATCATCTTTTTCTTATATTATGCATATCCTGTTTCTCCACCAACACATCATCTTTTTTGCTGGGACGAGCAGCGGTCCTGTTTCTCTCTCTCTTTTTTATTTTTTTTATTTATTTTTTTCTGGGCACCAAAAGACTGTCGTCTCTTAGTACACCCCCATAGTCCCATACTGTTAAGATATGCCAAGAGAGAAAAAAAAAAAAAGGAAAGGAAATTTGGAAACATACCTCTTGTCGCCTTCACCGGTTAACTGCCGGAATCTGGTCACCTTCGCCGGTTAACTGCCGGAATCTGGTCGCAGCCTCGGGTCGAAGAAAAGGCACATGTCAATTTTGATTTTGGGTAAGTAGATTATGTTTAATTGTGAAATTTATACTTAATAAACCCTAGCTGCAATTTGAATTTCCTATTTTACCCTAAACTCGCCTCAAAATTTGAAGGCGTCGCCTCAGCCTTTGTAGCGCTACATCAGAGGCGACGCCATGGCGACGCCTTTTTAAAGATCGTCTCGCCTCAAGGGTATGAGGCGGCAGAGCCTCGCCTCGCCTCGCCTCGCGCCATGGCGACGCCATGGCGCGCCATTTTAATCACTGATGTTCCTCCATTGCACTTCTCAGTCGTTGTTGTAGTCTCCGATTTGCGTTGTTCCTTCGACAACTAGCTTCAATCTCGGGGTCAAATTTCGCGGGTGAATTCCCACTAGACCTCGTAATCATGCACGTGCCTTTCAAAATACACAAACCAAAAACGATGCAATTAAGAATCAAAGTATTAAATAAAAATAAAAATGACTAAAGTAATATTTACCCGTCTTCTTCTAATATTAATTAATTTT